TCAGGTGCGTCAGCCTGTCAGAACGCTCCCACGAAGATCGTCTATTCGGAGGAGCACTCACACCAACTTGAATCCTAACAATAAATGTTTCTTTTTATACATGTATATCATGTAAACAGCCACAGATGCATCAGCTGACTCATTTCTATCCAGAAGTAGCTGCAGGATGCAATGAGCATCAGACGGCGATCTTTTTATCATGCTGGTTTTTGATTTTTTTAAACAAGTCATCACTTTATAGCCGGTGTGTGAACGATCTAATGATGGGACTGATGATTGCAGTTAGGAGAACTAAAGCCCTCAAAACCAGATTTTGATTAGGGCACCATGGAGGGTTGGGCCGGCCCTGCTTATAGATAAAATTGAGTGATTGAAATAAAACTAAGTTTTGACATAACAATACACAGCTCATGTTAAAGGAAATGATACATCAGGGAACATCCTCTTCAGGACAGAGCTTGGGTAGAGGCCTCGAAAAGGAATCATAAACTGTTAGGCACCATTTTGCCATGTTGTCCCTTCAGAAAACATGGAGATGGACCGGCGCTACATTTTGGTCACAATAAATAGGAGTGATCATTTCAACTCATTGACTCTCCTTGAACCTCTCATTATGAAACAAACTGGAGAAAGGATCATCTGCAACAGCACTGATAAATTGGCTGGCTGATAAATGTATTCTATATTATACAGTATATACTGTATATAACATTATTAGCAGCAAAAACAGAGGGCTACAAAATCAAATTTTGCTCATGTGTGATGATATGCAGTAAGAGGTGGTGAGCAAGATGCTGTGGACCCAGGTTGAAATGAGGGAACTGATGATTTCATGAGGAATGCCACACAAATAGTAATTTGTAGCCATGCTACACCGGAGAGGATCGACAGCACGTTCCTGCGCCCCCAACCTCCATCTTTACTGCAGGCGGAGAAACAGGCACCAGGTAATTGATCTATGAGATCTCTTGATCCCATTTTCAAGAGAGATCAGGACAAAACTCTACAACACCCAAAAACCTGATTAAATGAAATAAAACAAATTAAAACATATGCATACATTTAAAAGAAATTACACCCTTTAAAAGTTGATTCCATCACTCAGAAACTGATTCCTAGAATCACGAAGCATGTTTTCAAAAGCGGCTGGAAAAGTTCCTATGAAATCAGATCCAACATCTGATTTCAGTCGGTCCTGTAGCATGGTACCAGAGCTGGTTCCATGCTACAGGAACCGCCACACTGAAACTCTCTTCCCTTTTTCTGTTGAAGCACCAAGAAGATGCAAAAGAAAAATGCTGCAGGGGTGTAAAGAATGGCAGCAACAGATCGCTGTAGGAGGAAATTTGAGTAAGCTGAAGCTAGCAGAGTTTTAGAAATCAAGATCATCAAGTGATTGTATCTCCATACGCTTAAAGGAAACCATAACATCATTAAACTTTTAAAGTGACAGCAACATTGCTGTTTGTTTCTAAAATCAGGTTGTACATTGGATCACAGGATCGTGAAGGCTGCCGTAGAACTGATGCTGATGAACATTTGCAGAAAGACAAGAGACGCAGGTGGCTCAAAAACCAAGACACAGCTTCACCAAACGCTGCCGGTGCCCTAACATCAGAAATCAAAGTTAAGCTATATGCTAGCAAGTAAGGAAAAATAGAATCAGCTGCTGAGTTTCCTCAACAGACCACTGAACCCTCTTTGCTGCCGTGCTGCTCTTTTGTTTCTTCGTTCAGCTGACCGGCCCACTGTGACATCACAGTTCATGCAGAAAAACATTCTGCAAGAGCCGAACCTCTTTTTTTCTATTGAAGCACGCGAAACGTTGGTAAACATCCTCTGGAACCAGATCAGGTTTCAAACATGTTGCTGAAAAGACCTGTAGCTACTAGAGCTGCTGAAATGCAAGAAGCTTTCTATGACCATTGAAATATTCTGAAAGGCTCCTATACTAATCTAATTGGATTTTCTTTCCTGTAGTGATGTTGATTTGCTGCCATGAGCTCTGCAGACTCAACAGATGTCATGTTTCAGTGAATCAGGAAGGATGCAACTGTACCTGCTTTGTTCTCCATCCTCTCCTGCTGTTGCTAAGCAACATGGACCACAGGGGAGTGGTAGTAAGAAACAAATGCATGTCAGACATCCATGTGATGCACCATGCTTGTAGGTAAATACTGTCAATTTGTCTGCACACTGAACAGCAGCAAAGGAAGATGGTGAGTTTGGGGAAATTGGAAAACAGGAACTTCAGAGAAATTAGACCGATGTTACTTGATTTGCAGGTTACATCCACCAAGAGGAGAAACTGTGGGTTCGTGGTTTCGGTTCGTTTGTGGGTGTCCTTTAGGTGATGCAGAGTGAGGTTTCCACTGCGTAAGTGCAGGGTTGACGATGTAGAGGTGCGGTGGAGGGTGGACAGGTAAGTTCAGGCGTGGAGGAGAACAGAGGAGCAAGCCGACTGCCGGCCGGGAAATCCAAGAACGGTTTATGGTTGAACTGTAATGATGACGAACGGACCGGGGCATCCAGAGGGTAATGCTCCACGGCGTCACGAGAGAGGAAATCCAAAGCCAGGTCAGGTTTTCACAGGGAAATTTCCAAGGCACAAAGAATCACCTGAGAGAAAAAGGCAAGCAGAATTGATTAGTAGTTTATCTTCTAAGGAGAAAACACAGTCAGCTAACTTAGAGTACCACTACTAGCAAACACTCAGGCGCTGAAGTGCTGGCAGTCTGCTCCTCTTGCGCTCCAGGATCATTGGAGATGCGCTGGCAGAGTCAGCGGGGCGCCACTCATGGTGTGCAGCCTCTGGTGGATGCAGGCAAACAGAAAAAGTTCCCAACACTACTATCTTTTCAATACCTGTAATTTATTTAGTTTTTTTTTTAAATTTTTTTCTCAGAAGAGTTGTTGTGGCACCAGTGGCTCATATTTTCGACAGTAGGCAGAAAGGAAAGAGAGCGAGAAGAAGGAGAAGGACATGCGCAAAGGTCGCCGGGACTCGAACCCGCGACGTCCGCGTCCAGGACTAAGGCCTCCAAACATGCTGACCCGCTGCACCACCACAGCACGCTCCAATACCTCTAATTAATAAAAAAGAAATATAATTGCATTCAAATATGATTCTAAGAGATTTCTACAATCCCACAAGTTTATTTAAGAGCAAAGAGATATGTCTGCATTACTTCTGTACTGATATAAATTTGCACACATGATGCAGGTGGTTCCCTCTGCTCTGCTTTTATGTTTTGATGTTTTTTTCATCCATCAGTGCAGGGCAGCTGGAGAAGGTGATGAAGAAAATGTTTTCCAGAAGAGCAATGTATTCTGTAGCTCGAAATGATTCATGTCAGTCTGGTGACAAAACTGATGAAAAAAAGCAAAACTTCTAAGAAGAAAAAATAAATATGAATGAATTAATCTGATCAATGAAATTAAGAACTTTTCAAATGCAAGTGAAACTCAAAGTGTTGCAGAAAAACAAATCTAACAAGCAAAGCAGAACTAAAACAGTTCAACTGAGTCAGTAAGTCGACAAAAAGTGAGATTCATCTGCAAATAAAGTGAAACACATTTAAATAACAATACATGGGTTTTCAAAACAAGATCACAAGTGAGCCAGAAACCTGACAAAAAAGATCACAAGCAGTTGGAAATATTTTCCTGCTGTAATTTCACCTCTGGCTCATGCTGAGTGTCACAATATCAGGTGCTACTCATGTGATATTGTCCAATCATTTTTTTCATCATAAAATGATTTGAAAGCTTTAGCAGTTCTCATATTTATGACTGTTTCCATCCATGAACTAAGCTGTTGTGGGAGGGGCCGTGAGGGCACATGACCTTGTGGAACAGCAAGCGTCAGCATCGCTGTACATTAGTGTATTAAAAATACTCCACACTCCTTCACCTGCAAGGTAAAAACTGGTTATTCTCTTACCACTGAATTTCTGCAAATGTACTGGGAAACGAGCCAATAAGTTGAATGTTTACATGTTCTGAACACTGAAAGGAAACGGGTCCAGTGCCTGCTCAGACTTCAACAATAATCACCAATAATTGTAATCACAAGCAGAACTGTTACATTTCTTATAAATTACACATGCAGAAGATTTTGATGTCTTGGAGTTTCTTACGTGTGCTGACTCCAGGAAGCTGGAGACATGGAAGGTTAGCTGCTGTCATACCATAAATAAATTGACACAAATTGTTTCAGGTATTCTTTGACCTTTTGGTCACCTGTGTGTTTCAACTTCAAATTTTCTGCAAAAAAGGTTCCAGTTCTAAACAGGTTCTGGGATTTTCACTTCCAAAGAGCCGAATCAGAGTCAACTCTTTATAAAAGTCTCATTGATTTTCTGGATCCTCCTCCAGATTTTCCTGGCTCTGAAAACACAGAAACAATTTATTGTATTCAGCACAGCAACTGAAAGGCCTGATGTCTTCAGTCAGAGGCTCCTTAAAAGCTGCTGCAATACAGACCTTGACAGGAGATTCTTCATGTCCACATCCATCAGCATCTACAACAACTCGTAAAATATGGGTAAATATGGGTTACATAAATATTTCATTTACCTTTGCTATTCATAATGTATTAAGTTGAACTGAATCTGGTTTTCAGATGTCTGGATGGGTCAAAATAATTATGACAGCATAAAACATCAAGAAAGTCGAACCCATGTTTTGGTGAGAAATCTACAAATTAACTCACTATAACTAACTTTTAATGGGTCACATATGTGATAAAAGTGATCTACTTTTATCAAGTTGGGGTGGAGCTGACTCCACCTATTGCAGGATCAGGTTTTGTTCGGGGAAGCATTTTGTTTTAAAACATTTAAGGATGTTGAAAGTGATTTGAATATTGAATAAAGTGACTAAAAAATGCTGCATCCTCAACTCTTGTCTCAGGACAGAGACGAAAAAAAGCTCGTTAGTGTGACTAGAGTTCAAGAAGAACGTGATGACGTGGCAGACGGGAGGTGACGTCGCTACGCTCCGTCAGCCTGTGTTGATGTTTTGGAGAACGGGAAGAGGGAGACGCTTTTTGTTTTTGTTCAAATCAAACCGTCGAAAAGGAGCCGAGGGGCCGCTTCTTCCTTCACCTCCGGCTCGTTGAAGGGTCTTAGCTTGGTGGTAGGAGCCTAACGGCCGGTCCGGACGGTGACCCGACCGACACTTTAGATCCAGAACAACGGAGCTGTCTCCATCTCTAACCGACTCCCTGCTCCCCTTACACCGACTCCACCATGACGATCCTCCCGAAAAAGAAGCCCAGCTCCGCGGTTGGCGTTTCGGACCACACCGATGACAACGACCGTCGGAGCGGGTCTGACTCTCACCAACACACGCACCCGCACACCGGGAGGACCGGAGCCAGGCCGAGGGCTTCACCACCTCCCTGGTCCTACCAGAGCGCCCCACCTTCAGCCAGAGAAGACAGGCGGAACATCGAGGCCAGCTCGCGGCCTCAGCAGGCCTCCCCGCCGCCGGTCGGCTCCGTGTCCCCGGTGGGTCCAGGGGACGGACGGGACAGCAGCGGAGGAATGGTTACTAGCTCTCGGGGAGAGCTGGTGGTGTCTTCCGGTGTGGTTGGATGCGGCGGAGCGATAGGAGGCTGCTGCTCCGGGCCCGGCCTGAGCAAGAGGCGGCGGCAGGCAGGAACCTGCTCCGGGGGGTGGTAGCTGCTCTGGCCGGTGGAGGCCAGCCGGGAGTGACCGGCCCGGGAGGAGTGGGCTCCAGCCAGGACACTGAAGAAGGAGCCGGGAACAACAGCGAGGATGAGTACGAGAACGCGGCCCGACTGCAGTCCGTGGACCCGGCCACCGTGGAGCAGGTAGGGAGCTAACGATGCTAATAGCAGGCTAATGGGGCTTTATGGGAGACTTCTGGGGCTTTTCTGGGGTCAACTTCTGTCGACAGGGTGACATTTCTAAAGTAGAGGCCCCAGTAAGAGCTGGAGAAATGGCTCAATGTATTTGAATGAATGAATTGTTCAAGTTGAACAATTTTTCCTGCTTATCCAACTATAGAGCCACTAAATGATGTAATTATGTACACTATTCACGTCACAAGTTTAGCCTGTTATCCCAAAGTTTCAGGTTGATATAGTAACGGAATTGATGTTGCAGGTAACTTTTAATCAGAAGTGGTCCTGGTCTCACACAGACAAAAGATAACGATCCAAATTAAGACTAAATCTGGGGACAGATGTACATTTATCCAAATAAAAAGAAGAAACTGGGAAAGTTACAGTTTACATATTTATTGATATTCAAAGACTAAAAATAAAATATAAAAGCAGGAACATGCCTGTCCACACTGTTTTTTCCTAATTGTAATAATAATAATAATTTAATGATAAAACTAATAGCCACAATAGAGAACTGAAACTAAAAATTGGGGGGAGGGGGGGGGTTAATACATTGTAAGTGAGCATGCACACACGTTAATAACATTATTGGTATTCCTTTGTTCATGAACAAAAAGCAAAAAGCTCACAGTGCTAACAGAAGAAACTTGAACTGACAAAACTAGTAAAAATTTGTTTACTGACAAACTGATGAAAGTCAGAAACTGCTTTTAAATTGTGGCTAAATTAAAATGATGGTAGTTAAAACTTCACATGATCCCATCTCTGGAGCTGAAAACCCTCCTGGATCTGAAGAGCTGATGCATGACCAGAGAGTCTCTGGCCTGGACAGAACAAGAGCAGAAAAGATTATGTGAAAACTTGAGAAACATCACAGCTGATAGTAAAGAAAAAGACTTCAAATACAAGAGACGACTAAATGTTTACATTTTGTCTTTCTCTCCAGCCGTCAGTTTTCCTGTTTTCCTCGTTCATTCAGTTTCAGAATATTTTCCTCCTGTTTTATCTTTTATCAGTCGGCCACTATTCAGAGACAGAGACATATCACAATCTCCTCCAAAAATATTAGAATGTACACATATACTGGAAATGTACAATTTAATGAATAAAGTCAGATTTGTTTTATTTTAGAATTTAGTTATTTTGAAATGAGAAAATGAATATTTATAGAAGAGAATATCTCTCCATCCTCATCAGTTTCAATTCATTCAGTTTTCCTGTCACTGAGTGATAACATTTTCATAAAGTCATATCTAGCTTGGAAAAAACCCGATGATAACCAGTGAATCCCAAAACACCTTTCTTTACAGTGAGTTTATTTTAACCATCCTCTTGCTATTTCTCTCACTCTGGCTAATTCTGTATCTGTTCTTTGTGCTCTCGTCTTGCGTTTGTTAATAAAAGCTTGGTTTTACTTGACCGTCAACTAAGGCTTAATGATGGTAAAAATTAGCCAAGTCCAGACAAAACACATACCGTATGAGGTCAGCTCCCCTTCGAAGCTGGTCAAAACTCGAGCTCTCCCCTTCCAGCTTCTTGTCTTTCTCGGCTCTTCTTGATTTTTATTGGCGGTCGGCTTACTGCTGCTCTTCTTTGTCTGTAACATTAACAGCAGAGCAAGCAGCTAACGTAACGGCTGTTGTTGCGCGCAACATGCTCACTCAGGCTTTCTACTCCATGACACATGGAGTCTCCGGCTACCATTATAATGATCTATTGGAAATTTCTTTGCTCATTCATAAAAGTCTAAAATCGGGGACTTTTCGGGAGACAGCTTTAGCCGGGGACTGGTCACCTAAGACAGGGACTGTCCCAGGAAATCAGAGACGTCTGGTAAGCCTAATCCAACTCCGGAATACTTCCTGTTTACATGTCCATCTGGACCTGAAGTGGTCCAGATGGAAACTTATCCAGCTGCTTCTCCCTCAGGTTCAGGTCTATGGGTTAGGGTTAGTTTTATGTTCACATTATCTTTTTAAATCAAACCCACCTTTGACTGGTTCAAGTGTGTAGGTAGGATAAGGGGTAAGAATTCTTCAAAGATTTATACACCTCCAAAGCAAAACCTACTCATGGCAAATCCAGTCACAGTTTTGTGTGTTTCTTTTGTTCAGAGGAAAGATGAGAGACGATGGCCACGGGAAACTAAAGAAAACCTTGAGTTGTTTTGGGGGTACAGACTGGGATGTTCTGTGCCAGCCACATTTGCTTCAATTCAGTTCATTTATATAGTGCCATTTTACAACATTATTTCTATTCAATCACACATATGTTCCCATTGATTCTAGTTATGAAACAGTACAGTATGCTAAAATAATTATTCAGAATACTTCAAAAAGTTTATAGGAAGCCCAGAAGAGTGCATGGAAAAGACATCTATGCCTCCTATGACTATATAAACATCTGTGTGAACAACACCATCCCGACCAAAACACTAATAATCCTAATAACAAACCTTCCTGAAGAAACTGCTATAAAACAATGAAATAACTTTAATTTAGGGAGTCAGAGAATCATAGAGAAGTATACCAAAGCAGCTTACAGTTAATATTAGAGACAATAAGGAGACACACAGGAAGAAGCTGGAGAAAAAGCTCCAACAGAACAGTATCAGATCAGAGAGTACTCTGTCCAGAGACCTGGTGGAGCTCTTAGTGGAACAATCATCTCATCTTGAATGTGAACAAAACAAAGGAGATGATTGTAGATTGCTGCACCAAGAATTATTGAAGGAATTGACACAAAACCTCGAAAGACCAGCGCAACTTCCTTCTTCACAAAATGGAAACAAAACTGGAGTAGCATCACATTTTGAAGGATGTCTCCATTGATGTGAGTGACTGTGTGAACATTGCCATATACTGCTGCAGTGAGCGACACTCCTGAAGGCGCCGTTACTACGCAGTGAGTCTGTCCGCAAAACCAGATGCTTGCAATGTGGAATGAGCAGGAATCTGTCACAAAAACGATCAGAGCCTTCATTTCATGCCCAATTTCTATAAAACATAGTTTAAATTCAAAATTGCTGATGTTTTGATATGTAAAATATGTTTTCTCCCAGGATATTAATCTATACACAGGTTGGTTTCTGTCAAGATGCAAAGGACTAAGCACATTTTCCTTTTGCATTGGTTAGTCATTTAATATTACATGCTGTTAAAATTAATTTGCTAAAACGTAGCAAAGTATGGTTCCCATACTTTATAAAATGTTTTATCTTACTTGGTTATAGTTATGAATATTGCCACATTTTACAAACAAAAGAGGCAATTAGTCCTGATTTTGTTGTTTATTGAAGGAAATTAAAAAATTAAAGTGGCTGCAGGTCGCCACAACAACAGGAAAAGAAAGTGATAAAAAAGAAAAGCAATTTTAAACCATTTATATTCTGTTTTCCCTCGTTTTCTGTCGGCTTTACTCTACACACAGACCCATTGCCATGGCAACCTAGGCAACACCTGCGCGAAGCCACAGAGCAGATAGTAATATATTTACCCAGAATGCCCTGTGCTGTAGCGAGCCTAACCCTCCAGTCCGCTCGTTTGAAACCAAACCAAAACCTTCGCTTCTTTAGTAACACCTCCTCAAATGAACTGGACCTCATAGACAAACAAACTAGTTTCATGAAAGTGGACCGCACAGGGCTGGTGTGAACACACCCCAACAAAGCGTTGGTGTTCGGTCCTGGTCCTACCTAGCGGGAAGCTCCCTGATCAGCGCTCTGCTCTCCAGCAGGAACACTGGTTCGAGAAAGCTTTGAGGGAGAAGAAAGGATTTGTCATCAAGAAGATGAAGGAGGACGGGGCGTGCCTCTTCAGAGCTGTGGGTGAGTCCATTCCTCCACAGGTGTGTAGCACTTCCACCCATCGCCACCAGATGGCAGTGTTTGGTGAACTGTGCTTGGTTCAGACATTTTATTTCTCCTCTTATTTATGTCGGAGGAGAAATGATGTTATGGCATGAACATAAAACAATATTTTCAGTTCTGTTCACAAATTACAATAACTTAATTCAGGTAAACCTTAAAGTTTGGTTCCTCATTTTTATTGCGTTCAAACATCTGGAACTTGGACCCAAGAACATGAAAAGCCCAGTTGGGGCTATTTACTACCTCCAGCTGGGGTCAGAACAGTATTTACTACAGACGGTTCTGGAACAAGACCAGGTTGGTTTCATACTTCGGTTGAGAGTTCTATTCATTAAGCAGCACAAACTCTGCAAAATTCCTTCATGTTTCATCTTTACATTTTAGCTCATTATTGTCTGAAATGTTCCTACCTGCAGGGGGCGTTGTGCAGCTGTTGGACTCTTTTGGTGTGTGTGTTTCCTTAATATAGTTGGTTTCTTCCTAGTTTCAGCCCCAACCTGCAGCGAAGCTTCAAGTTACCAAAATCAGTTTCATTCAGGTTCATTCCCATGTTTGCAGGAAGTGATGCTTTGAGTCTCAGATCTATTTAATCCTGAAGCCTCCAGCAGGTTTTCCAAAGCGTCTTTTTAAAGTCTTTAAAAGTCCTAAAATGGGAACAGTGGTGTCCTTCAGTTCGAATCAAGTAAAACCCAACAATTTGTTTGTCTGTTTCTTTTTCAGTCTCGGATCATTTTCTGCTTTTACATAAAATGTGCCTGATTCTTTGAAGTTGTTGGAGACTTTAACCGCCTGATTCACACTGAACGTCCTGTTTTTTTTTAGCTCTTTATGTTTCTGTCTGATCTTCGTCTGACCAATGTTATTCCTTCAATCACAGGTTCTCTGAAAATGTAACTCTTGTTTCCTGCCTTCTAGTCCAACCTTAGCCCACCCTAAGACATGCGTGGCGGTTGCAGCCAGTCTGTAAGACCAGACCAGATGTAATATTGATCAGCAGTTTGACTGGGATTCAGTGCAACAGCAGTGAGATGCAGAATGCTGAGTTTGTTTTGAAGGGCTGATTGATCCAGCCTGAGGCAATTTCTGGCTCCTGATGGATTCATCTGAGGCTCAGTTACATGTTTAACCAGTTTGAATTCATGAAAAAGACTTTATCTGAGGAAACATTTCTGCTCTTCATTCAGGTCTGCATTTCACTGAAAAAGGACTAAAATGTTCTTTGAGATTCTTGGAGCTCAAACATCTGAAATCCAGTGAGCAGGTCCAACATCATTTATCCCAGTTTGGGAAAAGTAAATGAGCAACGTACCCGTTGCTATGAGACTGATGTTAAGATACAGAGTGTACCCCTGACCCCTGACCCCTGACCTTAATGCCATTAATCCCTTCAACTTCACTGGTTTTCAGCCTTTGTTTCTGAGTGAGACGCCCATGTGTCTGAGCAGCCACTAGGTGGCGCTGTGAGGACAGTGGAATGCAGCTGATCAACACGCTTGGCTGGTCCCAGTTTACCAGACTGGTCCCAGTTTAGTCCCAGTTTGCCAGGGTGGTCCCAGTTTACCAGGCTGGTCCCAGTTTAGTCCCAGTTTGCCAGGCTGGTCCCAGTTTACCAGGCTGGTCCCAGTTTAGTCCCAGTTTACCAGGCTGGTCCCAGTTTAGTCCCAGTTTACCAGGCTGGTCCCAGTTTACCAGGCTGGTCCCAGTTTACCAGACTGGTCCCAGTTTACCAGGCTGGTCCCAGTTTACCAGACTGGTCCCAGTTTACCAGGCTGGTCCCAGTTTACCAGACTGGTCCCAGTTTACCAGGGTGGTCCCAGTTTACCAGACTGGTCCCAGTTTACCAGGCTGGTCCCAGTTTAGTCCCAGTTTACCAGGCTGGTCCCAGTTTACCAGACTGGTCCCAGTTTAGTCCCAGTTTACCAGGCTGGTCCCAGTTTACCAGACTGGTCCCAGTTTACCAGACTGGTCCCAGTTTACCAGACTGGTCCCAGTTTACCAGGGTGGTCCCAGTTTACCAGACTGGTCCCAGTTTACCAGACTGGTCCCAGTTTACCAGACTGGTCCCAGTTTACCAGGGTGGTCCCAGTTTACCAGACTGGTCCCAGTTTACCAGGCTGGTCCCAGTTTACCAGACTGGTCCCAGTTTACCAGACTGGTCCCAGTTTACCAGGGTGGTCCCAGTTTACCAGACTGGTCCCAGTTTACCAGACTGGTCCCAGTTTACCAGACTGGTCCCAGTTTACCAGGGTGGTCCCAGTTTACCAGACTGGTCCCAGTTTACCAGGCTGGGTTGGTTTGGTTCGATGCGGTTTGGGGGAGTGGGTGGAGGTTCACAGCTGGTCGGCTCTGATTCGTGGAAAGCCCCAGAAGTGGTGCTTCACTGATCTCTGCTGGACTGCAGTACCCAGCATGCTTTGCTCTTCACAGTGGAGTCAGATAAAACTTTATTGACACAAAGGACAGAGGCACTGATGCCCTGCCTCCTCTGAGAAACAGCTGGCCAATCAGAGGGCTGCCTGTGATTTCATGATTCATTCTGCAGAAGCCTTTCTGGTTTTTCAGTAACTGACATCATCCACACGTCCAGGGTTGGCGTGTGGATGAACCCTGATAAACGTGTCATGTTTTATTTCCTCTCTGCTTCCTGAACTGGTTCTGGTTCTGAGCCACATTTGGCCCTTGAAACTCATTGCTTTCATTCAGCAGAATCATAACCATAAAAATCTGCTAATATATGACAATGATAAACAAAGTCTCTATGGTCTCAAGTTCTGTTGGACTCAAGGTTCTGGACTACAAGTGCACCGATTTATTGGCGCCGATATCCTGAAATTTGGAAACTTGGTGATCGGTCGATACCTGATCCAGTGATGTCATCTTCCTCAGCAAAGGTCTAAAAATCTTACTTTGCAGTGAAAAATTTGACTGGGATAGCCCCGCCCACCAGGTGATGTCTGCTTGTTTGCAGTAACAATAGTCGCCCCACTGTTGCCAACTCAATGACTTTCTTGTCATTTTTAATGACATTTCAGATAAAAAATTGGTATAGGCCAAAATTCGAATCAGCAGGTCAAATTTTTAAGATCGTAATCAGTGATCGGCTGGAGCTCTGCAATCGGTGCAAACCTATTCAGGGGCCTCATGTAAGAAAGAGTACACAGTTTTCACACTAAAACTTGGACTAGGACAAATTTAGAAAAGTGCGGCGCACAAACGAGTCCAGATGTATAAAGCCTGCGGTCCCGGCGCCTTTCCTTTCTAAATCCTAATTTACAGGAAGCAGAGCAGCTGCTGCTCCGCCCGTCGCCTCCATAAATACATATTAATGTAAATTAGTATAAATACCAGGAAGTCTGCCGCCACGTGAAGCCATGGCAACGTCTTTGTCGCAGTACACGTCTTTAGCATAATAACGATTCTATATTTGATTTCCAAGTTGCTCTCGGGGCGCATAAGGTCACAGAAATCCAAATAATAAATTGTAAAGACGAAACTCCACATAAATGATGAGACCTGCAGCCAGACGGAGCAGCAGAACCTGCAGCCGCTTTAAACCTGAACACAGGAAGCAGAGCAGAAGCTACAGGGTAGAGATGTTTCTGTCCACAAGGCGGGCCAGCCGGACCGGAACCGGACCGGGACCGGGACCGGGACCGGAGCCAGGACCGGAACCGGGACCGGGACCAGAACCGGGACCAGAACCGGGACCGGGACCGGAACCAGAACCGGGACCGGAACCAGAACCGGAACCGGGACCGGAACCAGAACCGGGACCGGAACCGGAACCGGGACCGGGACCGGGACCGGAGCCAGGACCGGAACCGGGACCGGGACCAGAACCGGACCGGAACCGGAACCGGGACCAGAACCGGGACCAGAACCGGGACCGGGACCGGAACCGGGACCGGGACCGAGACCAGAACTGGGACCGGGACCGGAACCGGGACCGGGACCGGAGCCAGGACCGGAACCGGGACCGGGACCAGAACCGGGACCGGGACCGGGACCAGGACCGGAACCGAGACCAGAACCGGAACCGGGACCGGAACCAGAACCGGGACCAGGACCAGAACCGGGACCAGAACCGGGACCGGAACCGGAACCGGGACCAGGACCGGAACCGAGACCAGAACCGGGACCGGAACCAGAACCGGGACCAGGACCAGAACCGGGACCAGGACCAGAACCGGGACCAGAACCGGGACCGGAACCAGAACCGGGACCGGGACCAGAACCGGGACCGGAACCGGAACCGGGACCGAAACCGGGACCAGAACCGGGACCGAACCGGAACCGGGACCGGAACCAGAACCGGGACCGGGACCAGAACCGGAACCGGGACCGGAACCGGAACCGGGACCGGAACCGGGACCAGGACCAGAACCGGGACCAGAACCGGGACCGGGACCAGGACCAGAACCGGGACTGGAACCAGAACCGGGACCAGAACCGGGACCGGGACCAGGACCAGAACCGGGACCGGAACCGGGACCAGGACCAGAACCGGGACCAGAACCGGGACCGGGACCAGGACCGGGACCGGGATCGAAACCAGAACCGGGACCGGGACCAGAACCAGGACCGGGACCGGGACCGAAACCAGAACCGGGACCGGAACCGGGACCGGGACCAGAACCGGGACCGGAACCGGGACCGGGACCGGAACCGGGACCGAAACCAGAACCGGACCGGGACCGGGACCGAGACCGGAACCGGGACCAGAACCTGCTTCAAGTTCTGCTCAGAGTCCCAGGATGATCAGTCTGGATCAATCTAAACGCCAATAAACCAGCAGATCAATATGATCTCTGATCAATGGCTCCATGTTCTCCATCAGAGCCACAGGAGCAGCTATACCTGAGATTATTGATCAGCTGCAGTAATCAAACCTATTGATCACCTGCAGTAATCAAACCTATCGATCACCTGCAGTAATCAAACCTATTGATCACCTCCAGTAATCAAACCTATCGATCAGCCCTGGTTTCTCTTGAATAAATCAGTCATTGATTCATTCAGACGAATCGTTTTGTCTTTATGAGACAAACTGAATAAATGTATTATTTACATGTTGTGATGTTTTCACATCTTTATTTTCTTTTCTTTATTTTGTGCTGGCTTATTGTCTGAGGATAAATCGGTTCATTTTCATCATCTAAACAATAAAATATGAAAATCATAAAATCATTGGGTTTGATGCTTCCTGGTCTAAATAACTGAATCATATTTCAGTGGATTTTGATGAGTTCTCTGCAGGTAAAAACTTTGCATATATTTACTAAAACTAATACATGACCCGGCCCCCTCGTCCTTCGCGGGGCGGGGGCCGTCAGGGATGCGTGCATTTATCAGACCCAAAACCCATGCGGGGCGCGGCTCCTCTCTCGGGGGGGGGGTCGCCCCGGCCCGCTTTGGTGACTCTAGATAACCTGGGGCCGATCGCTGGTTTCACAAACACACACAAACACACAAACACACACAAACAAACACACACACACACTCTTTCACAAACACACACACACACAAACACACACACACACACAAACACACACACACACACTCTTTCACAAACACACACACACACACAAACACACACACACACACAAACACACACACACACACACTCTTTCACAAACACACACACACACACACACACAAACACACACACACACACAAACACACACACACACACACGCTTTCACAAACACACACACACACACAAACAAACACACACACACACTCTTTCACAAACACACAAACACACACAAACACACAAACACACACAAACAAACACACACACACACTCTTACACAAACACACAAACACACACAAACACACAAACACACACAAACAAACACACACACACACTCGATAACCACAAGTGAGAAAGGGAAGCTGTTGGAGGTTCTGAGAATCGTCGCGGTAACAGGTCATGTGATTTGCTGGAAATCAAACTACGAGCCTCATTTGCATATTGACGCCTCGCCAGGGAGGAAGTGTGTGTGTCTGTGTGTTTGATACAGCTCAGTATTTATTTCCCTAAATAAAACTAAAATGTAATGTTTCTTTTACAACTGGAACCAGCAACTTCTAGACTGGTTTTCTATCAGAAGATGATCTATGTCACCTGGATCTATAGGTGATCTATAGATCACCTATAGATGCCTCTAGATCTATAGATCTATAGGCAGATCTGTAGGCTTTCTGCAGGTGATTCCCTTCAGCTTCTCACCGTTCAGAGGAGGTCGTGCAGGTCTGGATCTAGAAATAGCTCATCTAGATCAGTATTGCCGGACCGGTTCTGGGCTGGTTCCAAGTATTTCTCTCCATTATTTTGAGATCCATCACAACTTTTATAAAGGTCTGATTAAAACTCTGGCTGCTTCCTGCTCCACGTCGGTGGCCATCTTCAAGAACATCTGGCTGCAGCAAACAGATCACATAGCCAACTCATACATTTAGAAATGGGACCACTGCACTCTGGAAGTGAAGGGGGCGCTATTTCCTATATTATCTGCAGTCTCCCGTTTTTGTTGTCGTTTGAAATCTGTGATATATTTTCATCTTTAAGAAGGACTTTCACTCTCAGCTTGTCTTTGAACTTCTCTCTTTTATTTACTTCTGTGCAGCTCACAGTTTTTAAATTCGGTGTACTTCTAAATCTGCTCCAGAGTTGCGTCTTTTTGAGTCTAGTAACTACTTAAATACAGTAAATAGTACAAATAACTTAAATACAAGTAAATAGTAAATACAAGTCTTTATTATTTGCTGTTAATTTCAGCATTATTGGCACCGTAAAAGATAAATTCTCTAATAAAACACCATACTTTTTTTTTTTCTTAATGATGTAGAGCTGATTAAATGACATAAACAAGATCTTTATATGTTATGAATAAACATTTATATATCTCCATCATTTATAGGGGGAATAAAAGAAATAAGCAGACATGAAAAGCAACATAATGAGCTATAATAAAAACCATCTACAAAAGTCAGTAAGAAACAAATTAATTAGATTCACAGAAGAATAACATATCTGGTTATTATAATCAGGATTGTAAAAAGATACCAGTAAAAATAAAAATATTTGCTTTTACTGTGCCATGTATATTATTCTGATAGATTTTTTGTTCGTAGGGTCTTATACATATTTTGTCCAGCACGGTGAAAATTTTCCTCTAAAACAATAAATCCTATTCATAGAATCACATCATCAATAATTTATGAATAGAGTAAAACTCTCAGCAAGCTGCAGGTAAATGTTAACATTTAGCTGGTAAAGAATAATTATTGCCCTGTCAATAAATGATTTCTAATAGATTGTTATTACCAGAGGAAAACAGAGACGGCTTCATGAGGTCAGAGGTCAAACTGATGAAGAAAGAGGATGGATGCTCTCTGCTAAAATATTCCTGCATCTTCCATCATCTTTCAGCAAACAGTTGAGATAAAGTTGGTTCTGGTTTCACCACCATTTACCTGCTGTTTTACCTGCCAGTGAAAGTTTCATTAAAAGTTTGTTAATCTGCAGCTCATGAGACGGAACCAGCCGAGGAGATGAAAAGTTCAAACTTGAGTTAAAATGTTGTTTTGAGTTCTATTAGAATGTTGAGTTTTAACATTTTAAGTCAACACCCTCTAGTTGGGTAACCCTGAGATCACAGAGTCTTCTTAAAGACGGAGTCTCTCAGAACAAATCTTAAAAATATAGTCAGTGTTTTCAGAAAAGTTGAGCTGACTGACCAAGAATGACACAAAGTATTTCAACTTTGTTACGGTTTCAACAAGTTGGCCATCAAGAGGAACTGGAATCACTTTGAGGTCATTTAATTAGCTCCACCTTCTTGAAAAAGCATGGTATTTTATTAGACAAGTTGTCTTTATGGTATCAGTAATGCCAGAATTAATTTGTTAAGACTGTGAGCTGCACTGAAGTAAATAAAAGAGAAGTTCAAATCCATGCTGAGAGTGAAAATCCGTCCAAAAGCTGAAGATATATCACTGATTTCACAAGAAAATAAAAACCAGAGGCCAGAGATAATATAGGAAATGACGCCCCCTTCACCTCTGGACTCCAATGGTCCCGTTTCCATATTAGGTCTGAGACTGACAGCGGCCCGCCCCGCCCCTTCCTGCTGCAGCCGGGTCCTTCTCGCCATCTTGGAACTAAATCCTGATTTCTGTGGGATTTTCTTCAGCCCGGGTTGGGAGGATGGTATCAGAACCTAAAGATCCGTTTGTCTTGACTGAAACTCATGTCTGAATCCAGGAAGCATTTTCTGCATATTTCATATTCATAGCTGTTGAGTTTTAAGCGAAACGTAAAAGAAAGACGTTTAGGGTTAGCTGAGAGCTGATTGGACAGAAGCTCTGGCTCCATCCCTTTGTTCAATTAGCTGTCCTCTGTTTGCAGCCGACCAGGTGTACGGGGATCAGGACATGCACGAGGTGGTGAGGAAGCACTGCATGGACTACCTGGTGAGTGACCACGACCCCTCCCCTCGCCGACTTCTCATCCAATCGGCTGACGGCGTCTGTTTGCTTCCGTCAGATGAAGAATGCAGACTACTTCTCCAAACTACGTGACAGAAGACTTTACCCGTACATCAACAGGAAGAGGAAAAAACAATTGCCATGGCAACCACATCGAGATGCAGGCCATGGCGGAGATGTACAACAGACCGGTGGGAGGTGTACCAGTACAGCACAGGTGAGTCCGTCGGCACATCTGAACCCGAACCAGATTCACGCATCTTTACCGATCCCGCCTCCCGGTCCCACAGAGCCAATCAACACATTCCACGGCATCCATCAGAACAATGACGAGCCAATCAGAGTGAGCTACCACCGCAACATCCACTACAACTCTGTGGTGAACCCCAACAAGGCCACTATCGGCGTGGGCCTGGGCCTTCCCGCCTTCAAACCCGGGGTACCAGAACCACAGCGACACGCTTCCTCTTAGGGCCATTGCTGCGGCGTTGACCTCTGACCTTTCCCTCCCAGTACGCGGACCAGTCTCTGATGAAGTCGGCCATCAAGACGTCCGAAGAGTCGTGGATCGAGCAGCAGATGCTGGAGGACAAGAAGCGGGCGACGGACTGGGAGGCGACCAACGAGGCCATCGAGGAGCAGGTGGCGCGCGAGTCCTACCTGCAGTGGCTCCAGGACCAGGAGAAACAGGCCCGACAGGTGAGACAGTACCGCAGGGTTTCCCCAGAAAATTTGCTCAGCTCATATTAAGTTGATAGCAAATGTAAAGATGTTGCTAAAAGACATTGCTGACAAATCTCAAACCCGCAACTAGCCTTAAAAACAACAAACATAAAAACAAAAAATAAGCCAAGCTTAAAGCTGGCAGCAGGGAAACTGAAGCCTGGCAGCCCGCCAGGCTTATAATTCACTGGGGGAAAGCCTGAACCGACAGCTGAGACCCAACGTGATCTGGTGGTGTTCAATGAAAGTGGGCGGAGCTCCAGGTAACGCTGTCCTCTGCTTCTTCCTGCAGCCCCGTAAAGCTAGCGCCACCTGCAGCTCGGCCACCGCGGCTGCTTCTAGCGGACCGGACGACTGGAGCGCCCGGTCGCCGCGGCAGCGGGACTCTGACCCCTCCCATTCGGACCTCACTGCCATCGCGCCGGCCGGCAACAAGCCACCCTCCCCCACTGGAGCTGCCCTCATCCTGAGCAAACCGCCGTCGCCCTGCGCTCCAGGTAACACATACGGTGATGTCACTTCCTGCTCCCTGCTGATGGTGAGCAGGAAGTGCATCTGCTCAAGTATTTGCCACCGAAGCTCGGTAGTCGATCCGAACCAGAACCAGTAGCCGGACTGCAGAGACCCTCACCTGGAGCTGCAGAACCCTGCTGTAGCCGCCATGTCCTACTGATCCATGTTGGTTCTCGGCCCTGACTCTGGTTGGCAGGTTCTGATTTCTGTTGAGCTTCAGCTAACGGGTCAGAACCACCTGAAGTGGAAGACCAGTTCTGATGAACTGGACTTGAAGGGAGATTGTGTTTTGATCCAAATTCTCTTCCAGAGCCACAGACAGAAATGAGCTAGCATTAGCCCGCTAACCGCTCCCTCAGAAAGGAACAGACGACCCGGTACCGGTTCAGGGGAACAGCTTTTCTACAACCAGGTGAACCCTGTTTGAGCCCAGAAGAGCAACCAGAACCTCAGAACCAGGATTCAGGTCTCAAGCCTCAAATTTGTAACTAAAAGAATTCTTTTCTGTTTTAGCACCATTGTAAAAACTTTAAATTCCATAAAATGTACATTTTCCCTCAAGAACCAAATAATTCAGAACTTTTTAAGGTTTAGTTATGAACAGATCCGAATAATTTCCACCTGGAAGTTTGAGTCTCGCAGCACCTCAAGTCCATTTGGACTGAATTTCTGATCGTGGCCCAGTTTGAGGCTGCGGACCGATGGATCTGATGCCGATCTTTGGGCCCGAGCCCACAGCACGGACAGAACCATCAACAGGAGCCAACAGAACATGAACAAAGTCAGAATGTGTCTGAGGGAACTGCAGTTTGGATTGGGTCCACAGTTCTCTGAGAACCTCTGCAGGGTTCCAGTTTGGGTCCCATTAGGAACCAATTAGGGTCCGGTTTATGTCCCATCTCCAAATCTTTGCAACGTTGAAGCTCAATTTTTTAACTCTCAGTTGAACCGGACAGGAACCTGACCTTGAAGGTTCTGTCCATGTCGCTTACTTGCTGAACGTTTCTGTGTTCAGGTCCGAGCAACCAGAGCCGGCACCACCTGGAGTACCGGGCCATCATGCAGGAGATGTCCCCCACGGCCTTCGGTAAGAAATATCTTCTGCCTGGTTCCGACCCGTTCCACAGCTAAAGGAGTTTGTCAATAGCCCACCGTCTCATGAGAGCCAAAGCGGCCGGCTCCTGATTAACGGCTAAGCGCTAACAGAATCTCCTGGAAACATTTGGATCTTCACAAACAAGATGGAGTCCATCCAAACCATGCCGGAATGAAACTCACCACAAACAGACTCCATTTTGTCAACTACAAAAAGTCCTCTGTCCAATCACAGGACAGAGTGACATCACTGTCCCAGAAGAACAAGGGCTGATCAGGATAGGACCCACCACATGTCAGAGGACGCAATAAGCAGCCAGAGGATCCAAAAGGCTATCCTTCATCAGAATAAACTGTCGTTTACATGCAGTACCTCGTGGACCACTAGGGGGGGCCGTGGACCACCAGTGATCCTTCAACCACAATTTGAGAAAGACTTTACTCGGAAGTAGTGATGGGTGGATGGAGTCTTTCCCCTGAGAAATAATGGCCGACGTTATTGCAGTCTGGAGCGTTCTGCCATGTTGGAGGGCAAATGCTTAATTGGAGACAGATTCCAAAGTGAATAATATTGGAGAAATTGATTTTGAATAATTGATATTTTTGAAACGTAAATAATTTTAGTGATTTAAACATTTAGATATAAATATATAAGTCACTTTCCAGAAATCTTGAGCTTCAGGGCCGTGATGGCAGATGGATCTTCGTCTGGCATTAGCATTAGCATTAGCATGAGCAATAGCTGACTCTGAGAGGACGGCTCTGTGTAACCTGTGGTCACCAATATGTTCTATGCTGTTTGAATTGTACTAATCTTATTTTAAGTTCCCTGAACATTTTTTAATCTTCTTGATCTATGAAGGCCACACCAAAATCAATTTCCCAGGCTGACCAGCAGGATTTTTACCATATTTTTGTCCCAATTTTCCCTTCCAACAATCGCCCTAACTATCGGATGACTTTTAAGATAATCCATAGTGATCATCTTGCCCTGGTCCTTAAGACTGATCTGGTCCACTCAGGAGAACGTCGGCACCGTTCAGATCTGAAATCGCGGATATTCAGCATGTTGGGTAGTCTGTAGCCGATATCGCAGCGTGGGGCTTCCCCCGACTGGGAACCGGAACGCCGCCTGTTGAAAGCGCGGTGACGGAATCGGGGCAGCAGTTTCTGTCCAACGTGTCTCCTTGTCCTGTTAGAGCTCTCCTTATTTCCTGTTTATAACAGGAAATGAGATCAGTTACCAGGAGGACACAGATGATGCACAGCTCTGCATTATGATGTCACCAGGTGTCCTTTGATCCATCCAATCATTGAACAGATGCAGAGATCAGACAAATGTATGATGAGGCAAAACTTCAGAACAGAAACTGAAGTTATTAAAAAGCAACAATCTAGAGTTCTAGATCTAGAGCACAGCTGGTTCTAGATGTAAATAGATTAGCAGCAGGAAAAGCTCAGCAGTCTGGAATTATAGTGCTGAGTTATAATCTGAGACATTTTAATTGTTAATCTGTGTTCATCCCAGTGTTGATTTGTGGGATTGATTGGCTTCCAGTTTGTTCTGATGCTGAGCTGCAGCTGGTCGGAGTCTGACGTTTTGTTTATGCTAATTTTTGTTGGATCTGTTTTTATTTCATCAAAGAAGAAAAAAACACTTATTTTATTGTGTGTCCAATAAAGTACTGACGCAATCAATCCAAGATCAGCCTCCTTCATCCCACCGCTTTAAAAGCGCTCTGCCCCAAAACCAGTGCTTCCAGTAAAGAATGGTACATCTGCTGTCTGACGGACATATTACCCAGGATGCATCTAGAGGGTGTTTGTGGACGAGTCCTCAGCTGGTTGAGCTTCACAAAGTTTTCACACCCTCAATATTTTCCATTCATGTTTATTGGCATTTAATGCGACTAACAGATGCACTGCAGGCTCGCTTTTCCTCCAACGGCTCCACATGAAATCGCACAGACAGCCATTTTTCACTTGTGGACTGGACTGGTCTGACTGGTGTAACTGGTGTGTGTTTCAGGTCTGACGGACTGGGAGGACGACGAGATCCTGGCCTCGGTACTCGCCGTCTCCCAGCAGGAATACCTGGACACCATGAAACACCAGAGCGCCACAGCCGCCATGCATCGGGAGCGAGAGCCGTCGCCGGACAGCAGCTGATGCACTGCCGCCGTGCACTGACCCCGCCGCGACCCCGCCCCGCCCCCCGACCCACAGACAGAACTCGAACATGGAGAAAATAAACCATCCAACAATGATGCACTCATTTCCTTTTTTAAATCATCCGCTTCCTGTTTCCCACTTCCAGCATCACTTCCACTTCCGGGTCGGCGGGGGTCGGGGGTCTTCACGCCGATCCGGGATCAGATCTTATTTAAATGTGGACGGCTTCCAGCAGTTTGAGTTTCGCTCCGTGGTTCCAATGAAGGACGACCCGGTCCGGTTCTGTTCAGTGACCCGGTCCGGTTCTGTTCGGCCATCAAGTCTTATCATGTTCTGTTAGGTGCTGATCATTCCCGGCCTCCTCATCGTCATCTTCATCATCAGACTTATTTAGCTGCATGTTTAACAGCCGAGTTCATCATAGCAGAAACGAATTAAAGAGAAAAATAGAAAATGTCTTTCTGATCCTCAGTGATTATTAATATAAGTTTGTTTTATTTTATTTTCTCAGTTGGATGAAAACTTTTTTTGTTTCTTGGAATAAAAAGAGGAAGTTTCTGAAAAGCAGCTGAGAGCTTCATGATTCCAGCCGTCTATAAAGCTGGAACCGGTTCTGGTTCTGCTTCTGAGTCCATCTCCCCGCGGTTTGGGTTCTGGTTCTGGTTCAGACTTTCCTCCGATTCTGAAAGACTGGCCCAAAGCTACAGGTTCCCCTGTTGAAGGAGTTCCAGTGAGGAATGGTGATGCTGCCTGTCTGGGTTCAGCAGAACCAGAAATCCGGTCCGGCCTCATTCAGGAGATTGTTTAACGTTTATGATTTTCATCTTGAAAATTGTATATATTTATAAATATTTAAACCCAGAAACTAAAACTGTCTGGACCTTAGATTTTTAATTGTTTTTGTAAAGATAAGCAGCATGAAAGGTTGTTTCTGGAGGAAGTGACGACATGCTGCCTTCAGGGCCCCCCTCTGAGAAATGAGGCCAATTGTGGAAGTTGAGAAACTTTCAGAACATTTCAGATCAGCGTAAACTTAATGCTTGAATTTAGTCATTTAATTTGTTTACATTACATTAACCTTAATCAACAGCTGGGATGGATATGTGTTCATTTAAAAACATTCAAAGAAAAATGGAAACCTTAATTTAAGTTTAAAATCACTAATTGTAAAATTTTGTTTCTTTTATAGAAACGTTTTGTAAATTTCTGTCAATTATTCACACATTGACAGAAATGTGAAGCTCAATTAGACAACAGGAATATAAACATTAAATTATGGAGCCTAAGTAGATTTTCCAGGTTTAGGTGAAATTTGGATTACTTACCCTGTTGTTTGTTCCCTGAACGCATCACCAGCTTCACAAACCGACAGAAAGCTTCTAACCGCCGAGTGTTTTTACTGCGGTGCGCGTGTTCGCTTTCCGTAGCTGTGTGTGCGCGCGCACTGATGTTTGAGAGGAAATCGGCCTCGAGCTTCCCGGCAGTTTATCAGCGCGCGCTACCCGCCTCGTTGATCTCAAATCTACAAATCCTTCCCCACGCGCTGTTTGAATATTCATGAGCTTCAATCCGATTGGCTGCTCAGTTCAAAACACGGAGCACACTGTGAGACGTTGATTGGATGAAGAGCATGGGGTGGGCGTGGCCGCAGAAAAGCTATAAAGTGTGAAGCCAGTGGAGCAGGTCCAGAACCTGCTGCTGCTCCAGAACCTGCTGCCGGCTCAGGACGGGATCCTTCGGCTCTGGGCCAGCAGAACCTTCCGGGCTCTGAAGACGGGAAAACCCCGAACCGAGCCTTTTGGAGCGATAAAAATCCGAGGAGACAGCAGGGCTATGACCCGCTCGCAGTGAGCCAAACTCGGGGAAATGTTGGAGAAAAGCCACGCGGATCCGAACCCGGAGGACAAACGACGCGGTGAGCGTTTCTACCGAGTTTCATATTTTATGAGCTGCTTTGCGGTTTCTCACCTGTAAATGTGCTACAGAAATAAAGTTACTTGCATTCCTACTTTTAAGATTCAGAACCGGTTCCGGAAAATCTGGTTCTGGTCCAGTAATTCGGTTTTTTATGGCGTTTCTTTTTCTTTTCTTTCTTTTTTGGCTGCGACGCGGTGAAGTTGGCTTCTGATTGGTCGCTTTAGTAAAGGACTATTTCACCGTATTTAATGAAAAACGTTGATCGGTTCCGGTTCGGCATCAAACATGGGCCGGATTGTAATCCATTCACTACAATTGTGAGGACCAAAAAGATGGTTTCCGATCAGTTTTTGGGCTGAACAGAAGGAATATTATAAATCTTGATATAGGCTATTATATAAAACATGAAGCTGGAGTTTATAGTTTTATCTGTTTTATAAAAATAAAACAGATGAAACTATAAACAGGAGTTTATAGTTTCATCTGTCGGTTTAAACGATGTTTATTGCAGAAAAACTTCGTTTCTCTCAATGGACTGAAACAGAACCTTAAAGGTTAAATGGGTTTTCCTGAGTTATAATAAAATAGTCCAGGTGTCTGTGTGTGTGTGTCTGTGTGTGTGTGTGTCTGTGTGTGTGTCTGTGTGTGTGTCTGTGTGTGTGTGTGTGTGTGTGTGTGTCTGTGTGTGTGTCTGTGTGTGTGTCTGTGTGTGTGTGTGTGTGTGTGTCTGTGTTGTGTGTGTGTGTGTGTGTCTGTGTGTGTGTGTCTGTGTGTGTGTCTGTGTGTGTGTTGTGTGTGTGTGTGTGTCTGTGTGTGTGTCTGTGTGTGTGTGTCTGTGTGTGTGTCTGTGTGTGTGTGTCTGTGTCTGTGTGTGTGTGTGTGTCTGTGTGTGTGTGTCTGTGTGTGTCTGTGTGTGTGTGTGTGTGTGTGTGTCTGTGTGTGTGTCTGTGTGTGTGTCTGTGTGTGTGTGTGTCTGTGTGTGTGTGTGTGTGTCTGTGTGTGTGTCTGTGTGTGTGTCTGTGTCTGTGTGTGTGTGTCTGTGTGTGTCTGTGTGTGTGTGTGTGTGTGTGTGTGTGTGTCTGTGTGTGTGTCTGTGTGTGTGTCTGTGTGTGTGTGGTGTGTGTGTGTGTGTGTGTGTGTGTGTCTGTGTGTGTGTGTCTGTGTGTGTGTGTGTGTGTGTCTGTGTGTGTGTGTGTGGTGTGTGTGTGTCTGTGTGTGTGTCTGTGTGTGTGTGTCTGTGTGTGTGTCTGTGTGTGTGTCTGTGTGTGTGTGTGTGTGTGTCTGTGTGTGTGTCTGTGTGTTGTGTGTGTGTGTGTGTGTCTGTGTGTGTGTGTCTGTGTGTGTGTCTGTGTGTGTGTGTGTCTGTGTGTCTGTGTGTGTGTCTGTGTTGTGTGTGTGTGTCTGTGGTGGTGTGTGTGTGTGTCTGTGTGTGTGTGTGTGTCTGTGTGTGTGTCTGTGTGTGTGTCGTGTGTGTGTGTCTGTGTGTGTGTGTCTGTGTGTGTGTCTCTGTGTGTGTGTGTCTGTGTGTGTGTGTGTGTTGGGGTTCTGATGTGGTTCTGTGTTCTGATCCAGGGAAGGAAGCCTTCAGCCTGCGGTACTGCTGCGGCCGATGATCGGCAGCGGCGGCTTCGGTCCGTGTTTTCGGGTCACAGACTCTCAGATGGACTTCCGGTCGCCATCAAGCAGATCTCCAGGGATCGGGTCCAGCAGTGGCCAGACTGGTGAGGTCATTTCCAGAACCAGAACCCGTTCAGTTTTCACCTGAAAACCCAGGCGTCTGCTGCCCTCTGCTGGACAGGCAGCAGAAACGCAGGAGGGGTTCCCACGGAAACCTGTGATGTCATTGTTCCGTCAGTGGGTTTTCCCCGGTGATGCGCTGGTTCCACACCCTTAGACCGGTTCTGGTTCTGTAGTGAATGAAATTAGCTCCTGTGTTTTGTGCGTTTTTAACTCCTGACGTCTTCCCGTCCCGCAGCCCGGAGCTCGGCCCGGTTCCCATGGAGATCGCCCTGCTGCAGCGGCTCTGTGAGGTCGGAGGTCACGGCGGAGTGATCCGGATGCTGGACTGGTTCGAGGCGAGGGGCGGGGCTTCTTGCTGGTGATGGAGCGGCCGCCGCAGTGCCGGGATCTGTTCGACTTCATCACGGAGCGCGGCGCGTTGCCCGAACGTCTGGCTCTCAGGTGGGCCCGCGCTCGTTACCTTGGCGACGTGCCACCGCCCCGGCCGCGCTGACGTCTCGGCTCCACCCCCGCAGGTTCTTCAGGCAGACGGTGGAGGCGCTGCGGTTTGTTCACGCGCACAGCGTCGTGCACAGAGACGTGAAGGACGAGAACGTCCTGGTGGACACGCGGACGCTGGAGGTCAAGGTCATCGACTTTGGCTCCGGCGCGCTGCTGAAGGACGCGCCGTACGACGATTTCGAAGGTACGGAGCCGTCCGGCGGGCGGGGCCTAACAGTTCAGTCGGTGGGCGGAGCCTCACCTCTCCCCTCCCTGCAGGTACGCGGGTCTACAGCCCACCCGAGTGGGTCCAGTCGCGGTCGTACCGAGCCGAGCCGCTCACCGTCTGGTCGCTCGGCGTTCTGCTCTTCGACATGGTGTGCGGCGACATCCCGTTTGAGCGCGACCAGGAGATCGTCAAGGCCACGCCCTTCTTCACTCGCCGCGTCTCTAAAGGTAAGCGCCGACCCACCGCGCCTGACTGGTTGAGGCGTGCGTGGTGCTGACCGTCTCCGCCTCTTCCTGCAGAATGCCAGGCTCTGATTGGCTGGTGTCTGTCCCTCCGGCCGGAGGACCGCCCCTCGTTGGAGCAGATCCTGACGCACCCCTGGATGGAGTTGGGGGAGGAAGAGGACGAGGAAGAGGAGCGCGGCTCGCTGCCCAGCGCGTCGCTGTGAACCGGGCCGGAACCGAACAGGAAATAGTCACTTTACCTTCGCTGAGATGCTCATCACTGATGATGAGTCTTTATTTATGGATTATTTATTATAGTTCCTGCTCCTCTTCCTCACTGCTCCAGGTGAGGAAGATGATGAAGAGGAGGAAAGCTGAACTGACAGATTTTTGTTTTTTCTCTCTAAAAGGTAGACAAAGCTAAACTTAAAACTTTAAAACTGATTAAAAGTTTGGCTGAAGTCTGGACATCAGCGGCGCTCGGTAAATACGGGTGTATTCCTTCAAAGTGGCTCTGCTGCCACTTGGTTCTGTTTATTTACATTAAATAACAAGTTCTGGATCAGAACCAAGATCCATGTTGGAATAAAAACATTTTCAGACTCTGGTTGTTGCTTTGTCTCATATTCAAAAATACTTTATTGATCCAAAGGGAAATGAAATGTTGTAAATCATTTATTGAGATTCTTATTGAAGATGCTGCTGGCAGGAAGGATCTCCTGTAGCAGTCTGTGTTACAGCACCTCTGAACAAGCCTCTGACTGAAGACGGGCCAGAACTTTATTGATTTTAAGAAGAATCCTTCTTTGCATCATCATCACCAGAGGATCCACAGACAGAACCACAACAGAACCACAACAGAACCAGCCTTCTTATTCAGCCTGTTGAGCCTCTTCAGCTCCTGGTTCCGGTGGTTCTAATGGTTCTGCTGATTCTGATGGTTTTGGTGGTTCTGATGGTTCCAGTGGTTCTAATGG